GGCCACCGCTGCCTTCCTCGCCGCCCCTTGGCGGGGTCCTGCTTTCCCAGGGCCCGAGCTGCACATGCAGCGTAGGGCACCTTCATCCTTCATCCCATCGTGGAATGGCGCCTCCGGCACGGTTAGAGCAAACAAACTCCCCCAGCGCAGCCTCTGAACTTGTGTTCCTCGTGCTCTCGCAGGCCACCCCGTGAGCGATGCGCAGGGCTCGTCGGCCACCTCCTGCAGCGCCAGTCTCCCATAACCGGAGCCCAAGCCAGGATGGAGGGTCCGGCCTGTTGTTTACATCATTTAAACCAGAGCACCAGGGATTGCTGAGGGTCTCTGCAAAGCTGCATAACTGCTGGAAGACGCAAACTTTGCAGGAGGGCAAACGCAGGATGGGAAGGGGCTGCCAGCCAAGGCCACCACTGCAGAGTTTGCAGTCCCAGGGCCCTGCGGAGGTCCCAGCTGCCTCTGCTTACGGGGCCTCCAGAGCACTCCATGCACCAGCAAACAGCTCCCTCAACGCGTAGAGCCTCCCTGGGGGGACCCCGGCGTGGGAGCAGCCTCTGCTCATACAGCCCCAGGGAAAAGCAGCTTCCAGCCCAGGGCAGGAGGGAACGGCCGGAGCGGCTCCCTCCGAGGGCACCGTCTCCAAGCACAGCAAGCGGGACATGGGCTGAAGTGCCTGGAAGGCCCTGAGGGAACACGGCAGCCGGGAGCTGGGGCAGCCGGGTCGGCATCGCAGGTTTCGGGTGCTGCAAGGCGTGAACGGCCCTATTAGCCAAGGCAGAACCAAGCCCTTTGCTGGGTTTGCAGAACCAGAGCCCTTTGCCAGCCCTGAAGCCAAGAGCAGAGCCCCGGGGCAGGCGGCCTCCCCGCACGGCTCCCCGTCCTGCCCCGCGCACCCCGGGGGCAGCGGCGCTTCCCAACCCGCGCAGTGTCCTGCCAAATGCTTTCCAGCCCGCAGCTCTTGGGGATACAGCAGTCTTCACATCACCCAGGGACCTTCTGGTACTGTTCAACGCCAAGGCACCGCTTTGCACCCCAGCCCAGCTGAGGGACCGACCTCCACCCCTCGTGTGACCACAGCAGCGCTTAGGCCGCCCAGGCCAACGCGAGCGGCGCAGGCCGGGGCCCACGAGCGGTGGCAGCACCTGAACAAACTCCCCCCGCTCGAGCCGTTTGTTCATCTGGTTGGGATGTGTAACTCGACCTCCCCGAGCCACTGCCATCCCCTGCCTAGAGGTGAGAAGCCTCCATTTCCCCCACGTGTTGGAGAAACTCAATATATTTTCTAAAGCCACGGTCACCTTCGTGTGTGCATTAATGCAGCAGCTGAAATCCAGCTCAGTCATTTTGCAGTTGCAAAAGGAGGGGAAGAG